ATAATTAATTTGCAATAGTACTAATCAACAAATCGCACACTACAATACATCGTGCGTGTGTCCACCGTTGTATGCGTAGTCGGCCTTATTGTGCATCACAAGCTGATTGTCGACGAAATAAAACGAGTCGGATCGTGTTTCAAACGGATTCGCGATCATTTCGGAAACTGCAAAGATATAGATACATATCGCATGCGTCTGGGTTACTGTTATTCGTTATTCTAAGTATACGTTTTAAGGTCTCAAACAGATGACAAAGTAGCCCGTCTGTGCGGGTCTGTGGCGCTTCTCTATAACGCTACAAAGTCGCTCGTCTGTTCGAGTCTTGAATGTACACGTTTAATCATCGCGAGACTTTCAAGCGACTCACCCAGATCCGCAGGCAATGTTGGAAACTCGTAGATGTGCTCGCATGTGTTCTTGCTGTTTGGTATGCAAAATCCAAATTGAAAGTCGAAGGTTTTCAGCAGCCTGTCCCGGAAAAAGTGCCGTTCTATCATCCGAAAATTATTGACCGGCTTAGGCCCTACGAGAAATTCGACCGTCGCCCCGACAGTTTTTAGCTTGAGAAACTGTGGTGTGAATTGATAGCGCACAAAACGTCCTGTATTTGCATCCTCGGATCCTAGTTCTTCACATTCTAGCTCTGGTTCTTGATGGACGTCACTTTCTAACAAATATATAATGATATACAAGTGTATGAGTAATAATAAAAATAGTTAAAATGTTTAAATTATTTTAGCTTAATTATTTATTTCATACAAAAATTATACTTAATTATGTACTTTATTTGTGACAATATTATACTCTTAATTTTTATCTATTCTTAGTTCTAATTAAGAATATTCTAATTGATTCTTAATACTCTCTTAATCTAATATTATATTAACTCTTTATATTTAAGATTTTTATTTATGACTAAGAATATCAATCTTTATTACCTGAATATATAACATATGCTAATTTTTTCAAACAATTATTTTGTTAAAATTTAATTGAAGAATATAAAAATTAGCTAATATCAGTTTTTTTAAATTATCATAATTTTGTTCAGAGCACTGATTAAGGTCTTTATTCAAAACTTTCTTTTATCTATAAAAGTACCTTTAAATGTGACTTATAAGATTTTTGATTGGCTTACAAGTACATTTAGAAGCACTTTTATTGAAAAGAAGAAATTCAGCATAAGGATTTGTTTTTTGATACAACTTTGACAGCTGTTAGAAACTGTCAGTAATTTGACAGCTGTCAGAAACAAGCTATCGTAACAGAATATCCAAACTATTACCTACCACTAGCAGGAGGCTTTGTAATCTCAAACAACACTGCACCAGTCTCAAGATCTCTAATCTGGAACCTGGTGAAGTCTATATCATAGACATTGGCCTCAGGTGAACAGAGATATTCTGAAAACGATCGTTATTTGTTTATCACCTGATCATACACGAAACCTAGTCTATTATATAAGGGGATATATATCAAGAAGCTGAGGCTGCGTGACAATGGTACTTAATCGGATGACGGAAACAAATCGGTCATACTATCTGTAATAGTAGGTAATCGGAGCACCATTTCTGGAGTCACAGGGCCACCTTCGACACATCCGTCGGCGCCGTTTTCCGGCTCCGTCGACGAGGCGTACGGCGCTATCGCCGCCTCGTTCGACTTGTTTTCGCTGTCTACGCTCATAATTTATTCAGAGGCCCAAGACGGCATAGAAAACGGAGAATTGCGTTGTTCGGTTTAAACGGCGGCCGGAACGAGGTCGCCGCGCATGATGACGATAGCAGTGCCGATCGGCGTTGTCACGTCCGTAATTGCACGTCTACCGAGTGATCAGCTCGCACGTTGTCACGATCACCAGGTAACTTGTCATTTTAGAATCCTCGCTACGATCATCGACGCACGAGCACCGTCACGTACGCGTCTGGCGTTTGCGAGCGTTTCCAGGCGTAAACATCCTGTGACGAGGGAATTCATAGAGGCGCCATTTAAACCGACAAAAATTTCAAAAGTTCGTGCATTTAGTAAAGGGCGCTGCATGCGTGATCGACGACACAGAAAGAGTTCTCCGCATAAACTCCGTTTTGATCCCATAATTATTTCATCGTAAGCCTCATTTTTTTATAATTTCTCAACTAATTATAATTTTCATATTAATAATATAACATATAACAGATATATAAAGTGATTATATCTCGCAAAATATGTTTGCTAGAAAGAAAAAAATTTTGCTGAAAAGAATAGGTGTCAGCGTCTGTCCAATAGGAGAAGGCGAGTTCTCCTATTGGATGTTGAAAGTACCGTGCGACATTTCGAAAACTCCCGCGGTACTGCCCATCTTGGTAATATTTGGTTAATGACGAAAGAGAGAGAAAGAGAGAAAGCGAGAGGAGCGCGAACCGAACGGCGCATCGCAGTCGGTTCTGTAGGTGCGGCGCGAGAGGTGACTCGCGCGTTCCCCGCTCGGCGCCCACGTCCGAGCTCAGCAACATCGAGCGAAGAAGTCTCCGTCCGTCCGTCGCCGTCGTCCCGAGACGCTCCCGTTGCCGCGCGTCCGCGATGGCGTCCGCCAAGAGAAAGCAGGACGAGAGGAACCTGAAGACGCTGCGCGAGCTGGTGTCGCAGCCCGGCAACAAGGAGTGCTTCGACTGCAACCAGCGCGGACCGACTTACGTCAACATGACAATCGGCTCGTTCGTCTGTACCTCTTGTTCTGGTATGCTGTAAGTACCTGTTTCTATCAGATTTCTTTCGAGGCCATTGTCGAGCACGTCCTGGGCCGACGCTGCCGTGGCTCGTCGATCCTCTCCTCGGGACCCTCGCGATCCCCCTGCGATCCCTCTAGTCGGGCCGATTCTATCTGAGCGCAAAAATGCGCGTACCGTTTGCCCCGCGGCTACGAGCGTGACATTGAGCAAATGTCAACGTCTCGGGCCAAGAAGCGAGAAGGATCGCAGCGCGATCGTTGCACCAGGACACCAGGTCGCGACACGATATCTTGGGGTCATTCGATTTTCCCGTGTGATCAGGAAGAGACGAACACAATGGGCCAGGCCAATGTTCGCGTTCCGGGGAGGTGGACTGCCTGAATCGCCAAGTCGCAGCTCTGTTAATTGGGGGGTTATATCGAGAGAGCCAAAGCTTCGTCGAGTCACTGTATATCGTCATGCCACGTTCTAAATCGTAGTCCTGGTTACGATATAGAGAGAAACTCCGCTATTAATAGAGGGAGAATTTTCGCCAAGTGCGACAAGATTATCAACGTCGACGACGGCGACGGCGGCTGTCGCCGCGTCGCGATCCTTAAAGGGCTTCTATATAGGACACGCTGCCTCTCTACAATATGAGAGATCGCTTCGTGGAAGTATACACGTGTGCAGGCTTCTTCGCAGCGTCATATCGCGACGCGCGGAGAGGGAGAAAGAGAGAAAGAGAAAAAGAAAAGAGATAGGGAAAGGGGGAGAAGGAGAGAACGAGAGAGATGGAGAGAAGGTAACGCGATTCTAGTGAGTCATCGAGCTAACCGTTCGTGCGTCCAACAGTCAGGAAGTTAGCACTATCAGCCGTCGTCGACGTTTTCTTTGTGCGCAGTTCTGGTTATCAGTGGTGGTCAAAATGTGACGCTCCGTCGTGGGTCGCGCGCAAGAAGCGGGAAAGAGAGAGAGAGCTGGCGGATTTTCGCTCACGTTTTTCCTCGGTTTTCTCTCATCTACTCGTCCTTTCCTTTTTCTTCCCTTTCTTCATTCTCGTCTCTTTTCTTCTTTCGCGCAAATTGCGATCGCTAACGCGCGATACGTGTGCGACTATCGACTCGTTCTTTTAATCGCATCATGCGAGGTGGTCGTATGCACGCACGCACACGCGCGCGCGCGCGCACACGTGCCGATTTTTAAATCTCGTTACCGCATTAACAGCATATATACGTGTCCTACGTCGTATTTAGGCGCACGCGAGAGCGTTATTCGCGTCGCGCGCACTTCGGCCGATTAACGAGGAAGCCGTAGGGTGAAAGGTAGAATGTCCGGGGTGGACCGCATGTTCGAGTTTAATTATACGAGGCGCACGGTTATGCAATTATAATCGCTGTATGGAAGCGTGTCCCCATCGACTTGCACCGTTCCACATTTTCCGAAAGAGGAGAGAGAGAAAGAGAGAAATTTGAGCCGCTTGATATTTAAAGCGATTTCCCGTCGGTTATTCCGCATCGAATGCTCCACTTTTCAACTTGGACGTAACTTCACGAAGACACTTGACAGTTAGAATCTGATTACGAATAAGAGTGAATGAAATTTTCATCAACTTCGGATTGGCGGCAAAGTTTTGAACTCGGGAGAGCAGTGAGAAATGTGCCTCGCGTATAATACGAACACACAAACGAGCTTCATTACGTGAATTATTGATTGACAAAGTTACATTGGCATGTTCGACTGTGCATTCGTTAATATCACGGTAGAACGCTTCTTACATATCTGCACTCTTCGTTTGTACTTGCAGACGAGGATTGACTCCGCCGCATCGAGTAAAATCCATTTCCATGGCGACGTTCAGTCAGGAAGAGATAGACTTTATAAAGGAGCACGGGAACGAGTACTGTAGGAGAATATGGCTTGGCCTAATGAATTCGAACTCGCCTCAAAACTTGGACACCAAGGACGAGCAGAAGATGAAGGACCTAATGAGCGCGAAATACGAGCTGAAGAGATACTACCTGGATCCGTCGATCGCGAATCAAAACACGGTGCAGCCGAAATCACAGTCCACGAGCAACATTCCGCGAGTTCCGAACTCGAGCACGTCCACGACACTGGCCGCGCCGGTCAACCAGAAATCGACGAACAACGCGGCGTCGATCAGCACAAACAATTTCTCCACGGACTTCGTCGCCGACTTCAGCAAAGTTCCCGACCCCTTCTGCTCGACGACGTTATCCAGCCAGTTTCCCAGTCAGCCGATCGCTCCGCAACCGTTCTTCGCTAACTTCGACAACAATCCAGTCTTCAATAATTCAAAGAGTGAGTAGCATTCTAGCCACGTGTATTCGTCTTCCTCCCCCTCCCCCCCTCTCTCTCTCTCTCTCTCTCTCTCTCTCCGTGTTAGGAACAATTTAGAGAACAATCGTGATCATTAGAGCGATGTTTGTAACGAAGTTATTTTATTATCGAGGCTCGGAAACGTCGACAATATTTAATCAGGTCGGTGGCAATTCCACGATGAACATGAACGGGGCACACGCGCCACCCTCGGAAGATCGTTACGCGGCACTCAAAGACTTAGATTCGCTGATGAAGCAGACGCAATTGAAAGAAGAGACTACGGCCAACCTATCAGCGTCTACATGGAACGCGAATAATTCGAATGGTATATATTACACGTCAACTTCATCGATCAGTTTACGTTAGACGTTCGTTATTGCGCGACTCGCTCGACGAGGAAGGTATTGAGATAAAGAAATTTTCAATTTCCAGCACCAAACGCCACATGGAGCATCGTAAGCAATCAACCGCACGTCATCTCGAATCCGTTTACCGGTGGAGATTTATGGCGGCCGCCCGCGAACGTAGTCAACAATAATACTCAGCCCGTCGATAGCTCTCTGTGCAATCCTGCGAATCCGTTTAAACCGACTACATTTCCTGTAAATAATGGTAAGTCGGAGAGGTGAATCTCATGGGAATTATATAATATCGTGCAGCCGGACGTATACTTTGTGACAGAGCAGATATAGTCTTACGTAATATTTCTGTTTTATATTTACATTTTGTATATCTACATTCTTTCGTTATTCTTTCGAAAATCGATAAGATATCGTTAGATTCGTTAGATTTTATAGATATCGTTAGATTTTATAGATATCATGTCAGTGCGCAATGTGTTTAAAAAAAGGAAGGAAAATGCCATGCTAACGAAGGGCGTCCAGCTTACAATGATATTAATGCTGGATTGTCTAATGTTGAGATAAATTTTCAGACCCGCAGTGGCTAGGTATTGGGTCAGCCAGTAATGGTGATGTCCTCCAATTCAGTCAGATCATGACGCCGTTAGCGAACAAAGTGTGGCAGCCGACGGTTCCGGCGTACCACGCAAATCCATTCATGGTAAGTCCACGATTTCATGTGATCTCGCATGAACTCGAGAGAAATCTCTGTTCGACGCGCTCTCGTTCACCGAGATTTTATCGTGTTTCAGGTGGGCACGGGCGTAAGCAACATGACAAGGAATTCGAACAACCCCTTCTTATGATTAAGTACGCATAAGCTTTTAACGGAGTTACGAACAAATAATGCGAAACTAAAATACATTTAGACTAGGCGAATTGTTACGTGACCTTACTGGCAATTAGTGCCATTAACTTTTATCCCCTGGAGCGCACCAATCTCATATCTATATAAATAAAATAATACTTTTATTTATGAATATAATATACACGTTAATAAAGATTAATATTTGTTACTAATCGCGTGAGTATTACTTACGGCGGTACTCCTGTTTACCTCGTGATACAAATATTTAAATAAATTAGAAATTTACTCCTGTTAACACGGTATAAATATGTATATCTAGAAAAGAGATAGTAATTTCGAACTGTAACGGTACAATTACATGATAATTATTTGAAAATATATATATTCATGCTATCGGCATAAAGTAAACGACAAGAAGAGATTAAAAAGATAGATTTGTCACACTTAAATACAGTTTATTTACTTAAAAACTTCTAATAAATACAAAATCACAAATGAACACTTAGTCTTTGTTATAATTCAATACCAATAGCTCCAGAGTAGAGATCCACTTAATCGTTCATAATTGCATAATAATTAATTATTACTTGATCATTACACTTGCAGTCTATATTATATGTAGTTGTAATATATTATTAGTCGTAATAACATGGTCGGTTTTCGCGTTTTACAATTACATATGAATATAAAGATAAGCCTTGTGTTGTCAACTAGTTCGAATGTCACGTAGCTGCCATATTAAAAATGTTTCTTTGTTCGTTTGCTGAGTAATAGTAGTTTGGAAGCTCCGAGGTGTGGTGTGTATTGTGTGTCTATGTATGTCTGACAGTTACCGATCACTTAGAGTAATATAAATTATACGTCGCTGTGTAAATGGAGAAACAATTGAGAAACACTAATATACGAGTAGACCAATTATATTAATCGTTATGTATAAACGTACGAGATGTGTGATATTGATATTACTAGGCAGGCGTCGAGTATCTTAGCGATACATCTGAAAGCGCATCATGGACTGTCTCCTCCTTCATGGCACGAATTCACCTAGCAACCATTGCTACTAGAATTGCCTTTTGGTAATGGGCGCACCAAATACAGCTTCTCGCCCTGCTTATTGGTGTAGATTGGGGCTCTTTGATAATGATCTACGAGCTGATCTAATGTGTGAAATTTCCTCTGGCCGATGCAATAGAGTGCTCCTTCCACGTGTACCCTAAAATGCTTGTTACGTCCTGGTGCTTTCAGGGATACCGAATAGTCGCCCATCTAATAAATATCATAAAAATATATAAAAATCTCATAAATTGACAATAATTAGAGCAATGAGAAACGTTGGCTAGATTAGCATCACGTTTATACTCTCTCTTTCGTCGATACAATAAATAAATTTGTAATTCCAATGCATTTCTTAATTGTCCGTGTAATTCAAGGACGAAAGAATAGAAATTGTAATGAAATACCAAAAAATTAATTTTTGAACGCAGAGCTTTGACCAAAAAATAATTGTATTTTAGTAAAAATTACTCTAAAACAGACTTCCAGATTTAACTCACGACAATAGTTACCGTACTCACATTTGTCTCACTATCCCTGATCAGGAAATCTCCATCGTGGCCGTGTTGATTGAGCAGCGTATCGCATTGCGAACGTGTAATACTACCGTAGTACCAAGGTTTGCCGACGAGATGAGGCCGATCACCGGGGTCTGGCCTCCGCTCTAAGGAATCGCCTGTGCTAACTTCACTAGTTGTCATACCGCGGTATGGCTGCGTCAAGTATTCGCTTAACTCTTGGAGATAATTGCGCGGCACTAAGCCGACTTGTCCCTGGCTATTTCTCGCCTTGTACCATTCAGGATCCGCTGGTGGACGGTCGAGAATCTCAAGGCGGTCGCCCTTCTCGAATGACAGCTCCTGGTCGTTGTTGGATGAAAACGAATACAGGGCCACCACGATGTCGAGCACGTTCTCAGCCATCGCATATGTGTGTAGCGTGTCATCGGCATCGCCTTCCTCTTGGGTGTAATTCGACGGAAACCAACCGGCCTGTGTGCCGCTCTGACCTCTCCACCAGCCATCGTTGCTCTTCTCTAGTATCAGGATTCTAGTGCCCTTCACGAGAGACAGCTCGTCCGCCTGCTGCGCCTGGTAATTGTACTTGACGACCGCGGTGCCGATCGCCTCGCTCGGATCGGCTGGTAGTCGCCGCGCCATAACGGGCGACTCGACTGCGCGGGACGGCGAGTTACTGGATGGCAGAGTCTTAGAGCCGGAGCCCTTCTTGACTTTTTTCTTAATACTGTCGAACAGCGAGGGCTTTTCTTTCTTGACATAATTGCTCGGCACGTAACCCGCCTGTCCTCTTGCGCTCTGCACCCTCCACCAGTGCTTCGAATCATCCAGGAGCAGGTAGCGATCATTCTTACGTAAATCTAACTCTTGGGCACCCTGTGCCCCGTAGTCATATTTGGCGACAACGTAACATACGTCGTCTTGACTTGTCTTGCCTGAAATTATATTTCACAGTCAGTACTGTTGTACATACTAATACAGAAATACTTCAAATAGTTATGCATTAAACTAGATATCTTGTTAACGTTCATATTTATCGAGATTTTAATATACATACGGGGGATGTTTATTACTAGTATTTTACTATAGATTATGAACTTTTAACCAGCTGCTCTTGTGGATTATAAAGATTAGAAGAGATTTACACAAACTGTGTAACTTTAGTGAAGTTATGATATAACAAGATCATCAGGTGCTTATACTATTTGTTTATAGTCAAGCACAGGAAGTAAAACCAAATCTATTATTCTCAATTGTCACACGCTTTCTAATATATACATAATGATATATACTGTATAAATTTATGGAGCAACATCTCACTCGGTACAATAATATTTGGTCCACACAGCATCCAATTTTGTAGACCAAGCACGAAAGTGTAAAAAGATCACAAAACTAAAAAGATTTTTAATGTCCTCAGAGAAGTACATACATAAATTTGCAAAATGTATACGCAGAGCTCAAGTTACGATCAAAGTAACATGTATCTATGGACCTGATGAACTCTTATATATAATTCAAATTGAAAGGAATTTACATACAAAGCAAAGCATACGAAAATAAAACGTACCATGCTTCATGGCTGCCATGTGCGATAAAATAAATATATATACATATATATGCGTGACAATATATGTATATATATGTATTTAGGTTGGTATGTACAGCTGGAGTGTGGCGTGAGTAGCTGCTACTCACGTACTACTTCAACAAATCTTAAGTCTGCTTGTACAGAGTCGGCGGCGTGAGTGCAGCAGGCATTCATTATTTAGTCTTTATTTTGTATTTTGTTCAGTGCTGATGCACCTGCTGATTTCTTTGGTCAGAATCCATCGTTCTCAAGGGTAGCGCAAGCAAGTGCATTACCAACACTTTGGGAAAAAAATAAAATAACTGTCATTAACATGAGATCATTAAGAGTAGAAAAGTTTATAACTTTGTCATAGTCATTAAAGAATTTATAGGCAGAATGAGTCACCTAATCTTACGCCCTTAAGTATCATTTTTTAATTTATTATAGATAAAGTCCAATAATGGCAATTTTATGGATTTATAATATACTTATTTCACATTGATAATATATAGTCTCTTTGATACGATATCTTTTATACATATCATAAATATTTAAGAATTAATTATGATAAAAATATTGATAATTTATAGGTCACAAAGTTGAGTGACTCATCCTGTATACATGTGTGCCTGTTTACTCATGTAAAATTTATTCCTAATACTGTAGTGCTTAATCTCCCTAAACATGCAATACATACTCTGTAACTAAGAGTGATGGTTCTATTGGATCATGGTAAATACAGACTATGTGAAGTCAGTGATACTTTCATATAAAATTTGGCCTAACAAGCTTTATAAATTAATTGGAGAAATAAATATAAGTATATGTAAATTAACTCAATAGAAGTAAGAAATATATGTGACGTAATAATAACACATCTACTGTATATGAATCACACAATCTATTCTAATATATTCTAAATACATACATGCCATAGAGATAAGTACAGCAACCATACAACGTATGGTTATATACGGACATATACGCGCGCGCACACACACACGCACACACACATACATACTCACTCACTCTCATACATTACCTAACTAATAACTATGATAAACAGCTAATAAAAAAATCTCAAGCAGAATTAATATATTATTAACATATCTATGATTTTCAAAGATCTTGCTAATCTAATACAAGCAATCAATATCTAACAGGATTTATGAGGAATGAATGACTGATGAATGATATGTGATAATGTTCGCGATAACGTTAACATTTTCCACTTTATCCGCACTCCCTCTCTATTCGCGCGTCATGAGAATTCACTTAGCATCCTCGAGGAGGGTTACGAGGGATATACGATCGATTAAATGTCAGTTCCGCATGATAAATTTAACGCTGCATCGACACGGTGCATCACACGGTTGCTTTCGAGACGGCTGCCGACGGCTCATATCTCGCGGAGTACCAGCGAGTCTTTCTCGGGAAAACCCGGTTGCGTCGGTATGCGTAATAACCGCATGGTTAGTGAAAAGATTATAATGTCTACATACACGATCTAAGGAGCGCCGGCGATTGAGAAAGAGACGGGGGGATCACTAAGCGAAATTAGCCAAGGCACAACTGGCTCCGAAGCCGTTCTAAACGAGAGAGGCTCGTCTGCTCTCCTCTTTCTCTCTCCCTCGTAACACGGGAAGAGAGGAGAAGGAGGAGAGGCGAACGATGTGATGACACAAACGCGCTACGAATCATCGTGCGTGGAGCGCAAGCGATGGAGAGCGAGCGAGCGAGCGAGCGAGCGGCCGGACGAACGGACATAAATGTGCCGGTCGAGCACGTCGATCGTCGGACTTACCGATTTTTAAACTTGACATATTCCTGCATAAAGCTTTCGGGATCTTACGTCGTTACACGGCTTGTTTTCCCCCACTTCGTGCCACCGCAGCCATGAACGACTGGAGCGTACCTACGTACCGGGGGCTCGTGTTTCTCTCTCTCTCTTTCTTTCTCTTTCTCTCTCCGCTTATCACTCTGTGCCTCCTTTTCTCTCTTCCTCTTTGTCACAGGAAGGGGGGCGGACAGGAGCGAGGAATCAAGGAAGGAGCGCGCGGAGAGCGCCGCGTACCATCCGCTTTCGATTCGATCGTCCTCGTCGTCGGCGGAGGCGCGCCACCGTGAACACGCGAACGCGAGCGGCAGCCGGAAGCCAGCGAACGGCCGACGACGACGGTGTTTCTTCGCGCACCGTCCTTCCTTCACGCCGGTCGCGCGATCCGAAGCGAACGAACGGCGTTGACTCCGATACACGTTCTCGCGGCCGCGTTTACGCGACCCCTCCCGCACGAAGGACAGACCCACCCTTAGGCCGCGAAGGTGTATACCGAGGGTATTGGGTGGAGGAAGTAGCCCTCCGTCTGGCTCTGCTACTACGACCGCGCCATCTAACTACAATGAGATGTCTCGATTCTTCTGTATCGATAGGTCTGTATTGGGTCAGAATCGCAGACGCACTTGCCGCTCTAGGTGCGCGTTCGTTTGGTTCATGACGTAAGACTGTCGCAGTCGTTCGTGAAACGTGAAGCGGGTATAGTCGTTGTTAGCTCGCATGTGGCTGTACAAGGAAGATCACACTCGCGAAGGCGACTTATAGATGAAAATTCTTAGACTCGCGCCGCCGTCGGATACGAGGAACGTTGTCTTTGTCGCCGTCACGTTGTGAATGCGATAACTTCATGCTAAATTGGACGATGAGGACCAGAACTTGGTCATGTCAACTCTGTTTTATGAGATTGACAGAGATTTATGCTCCGTCGACGAGGACACTTGCATCCCAAACACGATCGAGCGGGTCGACTCGACGGTGACATATAACGAATTTTTCTCCAAGTATTTGGCATGCAATAGACCATGCATCATTGACTCGCAGGCCACTGAGAATTGGCCGTGCAGGCGCGAATGGGTGTTGGAGGATGCACCTAATTTCGAGGTGCTCCAAAAATCCTTCGGTAGGATAGTTGGATATTTCACTGGAGATTAAGCCATGTGCGATTGTTAATACAACATAATTTCTACTACTCAGGACGCTCCGTTGTCCCAGTTGCCGATTGCAATAGAAAATTTTACAATTCGCAATTTAAGGATGACATGTCCATGGAAAGTTACTTGGACTATTGGCTCAACTATAAGCGGAATAATTATTCGAAAACGATGCCATTGTTGTACCTCAAAGATTGGCATTGTGTAAAAAGTTTCCCCGATATCCCAATTTACGAAGTGCCTCAATATTTTGTATCTGACTGGTTGAATGAATACTATATCGCTCATCCAGAGTTAAATGACGACTATATGTTCGTGTATATGGGTCCCAAAGAGTCATGGTAAATACATTTTCAATGTTACAGGATTTACATGTCACTTATGTAAGATCTAAAACCTCTTGCTTGAATTTGTCTTTTAAAAAGCCATATTTAATTATTCATTGTTATTCTGTATTGATTCATTTAATTATTGCTAATGTTTCAGGACTCCATTGCATGCAGATGTTTTTGCATCATACAGCTGGTCTGCAAATATAATTGGAAAAAAGAGATGGCTACTTTTTCCTCCTCATGAAGAAGATCATCTTCGTGATGTTTACGGGCAGTTAGCGTATGATGCGGTTTCAGATGAGCTTAATGATCGTACAAAGTACAAAACTTATGATAGCACAAAGTTAAAATATTTGGATGTGATTCAAGAAACAGGAGAGATTATATTCGTGCCATCTGGATGGCATCATCAAGTTTGGAACTTGGTAAGTAGTTCAAAGATTTTGCAAGAGAATATTCCAATGATAAATTAATGGACAATTAATTATACATGTCACTTTTGTTCAGAGAGATACAATTTCCATTAATCATAACTGGATCAATGGCTGCAATATCACCAATGTATGGTTTGCATTGAAGAAGGAACTGAGATCTGTCATGAGAGAAGTTGATGATTGTAAGGACATGAAAAATTGGAACGAACATTGCCAATTGATGCTAAAAACATCATACGGCATGGACTATAAGCAGTTCCTCGAATTTATAATGTTTATTGCTAAGAATCGTCTACATGCTATGGTCAAAAAAAGTCAAGTTATAAGCTTCAATAAGTATCTTCTTGGACGTAATCATTGTCTGTTTGACTTGCGGGCATTAAAAAATGTATTGGAAAATTTTGTCATAGATGCGCAGGACCTGTCTATGTACACTTTAATGTGTAGAAATGACGAAGCTCACGTATTACTAAAAAACATCACCTCGGTTCTTGAATCATCCTGTAACACCGAAAATGTAATTTCCCTATGAACACAAAGCAATATACAATAAATCATTGATAATTGCTGCAAATTACAAATTTTGTTTTTCTGTATAATGGTATCCACTTTCACAACATCCGTACTGAATTCTTAATCTCTAAATTTTTATAAATTCTTCACGTTAACTTTATTTAAATTTCCTCTTAGAAGATATAACATTTTGCCGTGTCGCATTCTAAGATTACGTTTGTACAGTAAGCACTATGTTAGATGCCGTCTTGAATTATAGCAGACTCAAGTAAAATTAATGAGACAATTAGAGAAAATAATTACGGCCGAAAAAGAAGAAAATCGCAAGTGTTCGTCGCGCAAAATAGAAAGCGTGGCGAAAAGCAATATTCATCTCATGTCCTAAAATAAGTATAATTATATTTATAACAAAAAGCTGTGATAAGATTGACTTTTAATCTAATAGAATGATTAAACATAGAAAAATGTAATTTTCCCGGTGGAACATATACTATTTACTGAATATAAAGATTTACAAGAAAATTTGTTTACTATTAAGCTGTAATACAACCTAATCACGGATACTTAAATCATTTTTGCTGTCTGTAAAACAATATAATATCTCACAAAACTTAACTTACATGTTACGTATTGTCTTACTTACTATCAATTGCGTAAGCATATATATATATGTATATTATATATACTATATATATAAATATACGTATGCTCTAAAGATGGCTATACACACGCACGCGCATGGGCATGTGTGCGCCTATATGCACATGTGTATGTACACACATTCTACTTCTCTTTAGCGTACATCTGCGCGCATCTAAGCACACATGTACTTTCTTAATAAAAATATACAAAATTTATAAGAGATGTAAATATCGTTTCTTTTCTTTTATGAGAAGTGGTCACCATGTCGACTCAAATCGTTTATGTAAAAGACTGTGCGGGGACCACGAATATTTTTTAATAAAATCAATTCAGTAACGTACACGTATATGTGATCTCCGATATATTACTTATGAATGTGCGCGTAATTTTGTTATTTCATACCTATTCGTTTCTATGTGATCTATCTATTCTTCCAATATACGCTATGTTCAATATAGATATGCTTGATGTGAAAAAGATTGTGAAAATTTATAATGTATTCCTTTAATGGCCATCCAATTGTTCCATTTCAATTATTTGTATATCGAGAACTTCGTAAAGTCTATCTGAAAAATCTGTATAAAAGATTATATCAAACATATTATCGAATAAATTCAATGTCTATTTATCAGAATAAAATAATATATAAACATAATTGCGTATAAAGAATATTTTCTTCATACATGATAAGTATATTCATTAAACGATAAAAACATGTATTTTTCTTGGGGAAATTTGACCTGTATATTATAGATCTCAGATACAGATCGATATAAGATTGATATATTGCACCGATAAAATTATTTAAAATAAAATGCACAGCTACCTCTTTCTCCTTCCTTCCTTCACGTAGTCTTCTATATTAAAAAAAAAAAAGATTGTCATGGTTAAAAATGCAATGATGTTATTCCAAAATTTTCCGATAAAAGTTTTCCTCTCAACAACAAACGAACAGATTTCTAGGCAATGCATATGCCTACTGCCATACCTGCACACATACACACATACACATACGCTTGTACATTTGTTATTTGTATAGATTAAATTTCTTTTGACATTTGTAATAGTGCCAATTTTATCTTGCATAGCAAGTATATTTAATGTTCACAGCATCATGTGTCACAAAGTCTAACGCAGTTTCTGACAACAATTAACTGTCTAAACTGACAAATTTAGACTTTCTGCAACGTGTGCTCGTGTTTGTGTTAATAACTAAACTCTTTTTATATATAGAAGATGTAATTAGATGCATATTTTTCAATGTATTTCCTATAGTAATTTCGCTATTTGTTAACGTAGACAACGGAATCTGATTCCGTTTCAATATAGAACGAGGAGGCCGAATGATCAAGCATCGATTATCAATAAAAACGATTTCTACGAGATCGTTTGAAAAACATAAAGGACATCACAATGGATCTTGTCATCAGCATAAAACTGTTGCTGGCAAGTAATATTCATACGTGTTCCTATGTGTTTCAATTGTGCAATTTCTCCATACATGACCATCTAATGTCTCTTCTACTTTTACACTTTATCTCAATGTCATAGTCACTAATAAAGTATAAAACGAATCTCTCCTCCATGAGAATGTTTGTTATTTTACAAGGTATAAATTTCGTACCTCTTTTTCTTGATTTTTTGAATTTATTTGTGAGACTATTTATACGTGTTTCTCCTCTTCTCGAAGATCACTCAACAATTATATGGGATGAGTGGGTAATGTTTGCACTGGTGGCACAATTGTTGGCGTGGTCGGCGTCGTCGGTACAGGCACTGGCGTTGATGGTATCAGCTGATGCGTTTGCCTCGACGGAGAAAGGAGCTCCTGTCTGTCTCGCTCTCGTTCCCGACCGGGTCGCCACGCTTCCAGTAAGGCCTCAACTCGCTCCTCTGTAGGTCCCCATCGTGCAGCGCCAGCTGGGTTTTGCAACCATACAACTAGCGTGCCGTGCGCTGCTCTGATGTTGACTTCTCCTCTAGAACGGAAAGAATGAAAGAAATAACTCAATGTTTCCTACACGAGATTACATATATATCATTATTGTACATTACTGTACAAATGTAATTTTAAAATGCGACACGACGAAATGTTATATCTTTTAAGAGGAAATTTGAATAAAGTTAACGTGAAGAATTTATAAAAATGTAGAGATTAAGAATTCAGTACGAATGTTGTGAAAGTGGATACCATTACACAGAACAACAAAATTTGTAATTTGCAGCAATTATTAATGATTTATACGTATTAACTGCACGAATTATAAACTCACTTTGGAAGAATATGCTGAAATCCGTGTCTGTATTCGTGCTCCATTGCGGGCACCACTACTTGCTTGCGTTTGAAGTGACTCCCCTCGAGTTTGATAAGCGCGTTGGGTGCCGGATCCCGCCACTCCGGTAAGAAAACCACGAACGACAAAGGTTCAGCCGAATCGGCTAAGAGACGTTCGAAGTGATTGACCATAGCTTCCATGAGTTCTTCGCAATACGGTGGATTCGCTTGAAACGACCCGCTGACCGGCCTAAAATCCAAAAACGGCCCCCTCGACCCGAAATACGAGTCCGTATCAGCGAACGCCGAGCAGTACTGGCGGAAATAACAGTTTAAAGGCGAAGCGAAACACTCGAACGTTACGCCAAACGATCTTTGAAGACATTCGAGGACAGTGACGGGGAGGGCCATCTGAGTGGCTTGGCCCTCATTGATTCCTAGATACGTTTGATAACGTTTTAGCATGCACCACACGCGTGGCAAAAACATTTCGAACTTTTTGTCGTCGAAACAGTTGTACCTATACAAATGTTCCAGCTTGGTGAGGTGTATGTTGTTTATACACATAGTATCACCGTGAAAGCGCAGCATTGTTTGCTCACGTTCAGGTAGGTAATCTGCTTGCGGAAGTCTTGGTGTAGGAAGGGAGAACTGTACTGGATAACACCAAACTTTTCTCTGTGTGCTGGCTGGTCCACCTAACGGTATGACGTCTCCTAGACCATTATCCTTGAGGATCTGGTTGTTCTTATCTTTCACTTTCTTCGCGTATTCCGTAGAAAGATGATAAATCTTTAGACATATACCCTCAACGCTGGCTTTAACGGTTTCCGTGAGATGCGGCTGACATTGTCGTTTGAGATGGGCGAGCCTGTCTTGAAAATCGTCAAACGTCGCACCGACCGTTCGTCTCAACCATTGAAAAGTGTCTTCGGCGTTCCACTTGACTACCTTCCGGCTCTCGGATGATGCTGCTCTTGACTCGATCATCTTTTTCGCGGCTTCGGCGTAGCGTGACAACTGTTTTCTCGCGTCGCCTGTGAACTTGGGCCTCACCAATTTGATGGGAATATCGTTCATGATCTCGCGATACATGGACATCGAGATTTCAGGGAAGCATTGACTCGGTAGTAGCGGATCCGAACCGCAATCGATCACCTTTCGTTCCATCAGCCACCTGTTGAAGGAATCCTTCGGTGCGTCTATAGATTCGCGCGTATGACACAATTCCTGGTAACATTGCCGTAATTTCGCCAACAAAGCGCATCGTAATGCTTCCGCCTCGGGATGGACATGCGGCAAATTCGATGGCGCCCTCTCGTATATTATAATATTCGTAGGTATCTCTAAATCCCACGGACCCCTGATATGATAACAACACATTAATTCATCCGACTCTCTTGTGTGACAGTATGACTTGAAATTCAAAATACGTACGCCAGTACAAATTTCTTTACCGGCGGAACTGCTCCGTCTTCTGACGCTCTGCGTTTTAATGTTCCACCTGGAGTACCAGCTGGAATGGCTCCGTTTCCTGGTACAGGTGGTACACCACAAATACCAAGCGGGTCCGTGATTGGATCAAACTTCAGGAATAAATATGCATTACACATTTTGTTTCTTTCTCATAGAATAAATGTGTTCGTTTGTATGTTAAATTATTCGTGTTTATGTACCTGAGGTTTTAAAGAAGGTACCACCCACAAAGATTCTCCGGTCAACTTATTCCAAAAGTATGGTCGATTTTCTCTTTTACTCCAAAATTTCTTCCAACCTTGCTGTTGAAGTTCTGGTGATAATTCAAGCTCTGGAAAGCCTCCCGGCGGTGCATTCTGTAACATAATTCTATTGTACAATCTGATGATTTAAAAGTATATAAGACCTCATTCAGATATACCTGAGTTATCAGAGGTGGTTGTTGCATATGACCAAGTTGTGGGCAGTGATCAGCTACAGTGCTCATTGTAGTGATCGTGCTCATTGTTTGTGGTGTCGGCGTTAGCATAGGTGGTTGAAGCTTAACAGGTGTAGGAACTATAACTTGTGCTACTGTCGGATTTGGGTCTTGCTGTAGTGTTTGATGATGATGCATTGTTGGCAACGAAGATACCGATTGCCCTGACAAGGTTTCCCAACTTGAGGTATTAGGTATATCTTGTTTTCCTCCACTTACTTCGTTCATTTTGTGATATGCTTCTTGTTGCTGAATACTAGAAATTATTCCAAGCATTGTATTATATATGCAACAAGTATCTAATAAGATATATGTACATATATAGAGTTGAAAAATTATTAGATATATAAGTTTACTTATCTTAGCATAATAATAATAATTTGGTATAGGTACTTATTATAAATATTCTGCTGAATCATAAATTGGATACATATATATATATAGTATTGTAATAGTTTATAGTATCTCAACATGTTTCATTGAGTGGATGAAGTATTATTTTTTCACATTTAATGCATACATCTTCATTAGTTAAACATTATTGTATAAAAGACACAAGCTCATTGAAGAAAGCACATTGAATGTGTTAAGAGTGAGAAATTACATAGAACAAGATGCTGTGGCAGAAGCATATAGCAGGTTGTACGATACAGTTGCCCATTCAACTTCAATTTATATTCGTAGACATAAACTATAAACGAGTAACACAAGGAATCTCGCGATAGTTACAAAGCTTCGAAGAACATCACGATTCACAACTCGTCTGACAGCACTGACGGCAATACGATGTTTGTTTACATACTAGGCAAACGCATAGCAAAATAGGCATTTTTTCTTGTTATGCAAACAATTTCGCTCACATTAAATTGCACTACAATCGAAAAGAGGCTTACCGGAACTAACAATACTCTTAATTCATGAGAAATATGCCACAACTCTTAGAATTCATTCATGATTTGTGTAATTTGACGCAACGATCTCCACCTGTACGACGCCATTTGCTTGAACTGAAATACCGAGGAGAGAAAAGATGTAAGGTTGCATTCGCAACGAAACGAACAAGACAGTCTTTACGCCGCGCGCGGCTTTCGTTGCAAACTCAAACGTCGAATATCGCGGATATCTTTTTCCTAGAAAATACTATGTAGTGTTTTCAGTTTATAAAACTTCAATAATTGAAAGATATTAGAAACAATTCTCGCTTTATTGTTGGTACTGAGCTTGTCACCTAAAGCAACTGTGGATTGTAGATGTGATAGATATATTCTAAGAAGAGCGAAGATATAAATTTTAATTTTTTAAATATCTTTGTGTCTATCAAATGGGTACCGTTGAATATGGTTTTCCTACGATAGGCGGATTAATGCCGGTAAGCGCAACAAGCAAATCTACAAGCAGCAGTGCAGATTTTCTGTGAGGAATAGAGAAGATATGAAATTATTAATTCTGTTTATTTCACGTTTTTGCCCTTGAAAATGTGTTTTTTTTTATATTCCATTTTCTTTTTGTTAGCAAATACAGGCTCTTATAGCCCCGCCAATATCTGAAGACTCTAAAGCAGCCAAAACAAAGAAGGAGAAAGAGGAGAAAAAGCATCCATACTTCAAAAGACGAGGTCGTGGTCACAATCGTGATTTCTGCGATGCTTGTAAGGATGGAGGAGAGCTCATATGCTGTGATAGATGTCCAGCTTCTTATCACTTACAATGCCAGTAAGTAATGTATGACTTCATCTATCTTTATAATTCACTTCGGCATCATTAATTACAAGAGATTAAGTTGATTTATGTTTGTTAAGGGAACAAGAGATTCAGTAATTAACTTTCTAGCTATCCTGCAGTAGACCCATTAGACATTCCTAATGGAGAATGGTTGTGTTATACCTGTAGTTGTGCTGCTAAAAGAGAAATCATGGATAAAGAAAATGAAAAGAAAAAGAAAATGTCTGCTTTGGAAATATTGGCATTTGCAGCTTCTTTAGTAAATCCTAGAGAATTTGAATTACCTAAGGAATTACAGTTACCTATAATGTTTCCTGGCAGCAATAAAATGGATTATGTATCTGGTAGAAGAGGTAAACAGTTAAGTTCATCATGTAATAATGGTAAGTATACAATAAAATGATAGGTATATATTTTTTTTATTTCTTATTTTTTTTTTAGAAGAATATGTGCTTCAATTATCATGTTTACTTTTGATTACCCAAGGTACTCTAATATTAAATGCAACATTTGTATTTTCTAGTTGGAAAAAATCACTGTTTGGATAGCAACTTAATGGTTCCATTGCCAGCCCGTTTATGTTTTGAATGTGGACGTAGCTGCAGAAAAGCTCCATTAATTGCATGTGATTATTGTCCATTGTATTTTCATCAGGATTGTTTGGACCCACCACTGACCACTTTTCCTATTGGTAGATGGATGTGTCCTAATCATCCAAATCACTTTATAGATCAAAATCTGTTGACTTCATGTAGAGTAACAGAACGCATAAAACTGTGGGATAAGTATGCCAATCAGCGAATAGATCAACATGCAGTGAAACTAGACTTCTTGCGTAAAGCACGTGCTGCTAATCCATTATTTCGTACAAAAGTAAGACTGGAAGGTCGTCCAAGAGTGAAAGTTCCTAGCAGCATAAAATACCATTATGAAAATCCATCAAAATTGGATTCTATACATTTTAATCAAAATACTGTCATACAGCCTTTAGAGGATAGCGAAAGCAGAAATGAACAACGTACAAACTCTGAGCAAATAGATGATAGTAAGAATTGTGAATTAGAAGAAAATAAAACTGAAGAAGTCAGTCAAGTAGAAATAAAAACAGAGGAAAATGATATAACTGTAGATAAAGAAACTAATCGAAAGAAAGAAATCAATGCAAATGAATGCATGGATAAAATGGAAAATGTTACTGTAACACATACTTCTAGGACATACAATAATCTCGAGTTTCATTCAAGATATTATGATTACGATATTAAGGAAGGTGTACAGCTATTAGAGAGACCAGTGTTAGAGATATTGGCACAACAAAGATTAGGACAAATATTGAATCCTGATGGTAAATATTACGAAACAGTAAATCGCCATAGACGCGTTAGAGCCGTATTATTTTCTGTAAGTCCTAAACCTAGTCCACCAGCTTATATGACTCATAGAACTTTTGTTATTGGCAACGGCCCGAACTGCGATTTAGTTTTATCCAGTTATGGTAAATGTGACTTCATATCCTCGAAACATGCAATTATATTTTTCGACGAGGTAAGTAAAATATAATATCGTAGAAACTTTATCCTTTGACAATTATTTCATTATTGAATTAAAGAAATTGTGAATATTAAGCTGCACATGACAGATTCTCTTTGTGTTCTTTCTCTTAATATTTCTTTTAATCGTACAGATGACTAAACGTTACGAGTTACTCAATTACAGTGAGTATGGAACAGTGGTGGACGATGTATTATATTGTCCTAATTATACTCACTCTACAGAAGAAGATTCGAAAGATGAGAAGAATGAAAAAGTGACATACATCACTAAAGAAGAAGAGACGTCTGAAATGATAAAAACTATTCTACATAAAGAAGAGACAGTTGCTCTGCAGCAACATACGCATGGAATTAACAAAATCTCATGCAAATGTAGTAGAAAACGTAAGATTGTAGCTAACAAACATCCAGAAGAAGGATGGGAAGGTAGTGCGATCATCGCCCATGGGTCGATCCTTGCTTTCGGATGTCTTACGTTTGTATTTAATACCTCAGGCACATATATAGATAGATGAAATTCCATATTGTAAATATTCAACGCTGTAAAAATAGTTTTATAAATCAACAATTAAATTAATGAAACATTCATTTTTGATACATTAAATTATATTTTCTTACTTTTTTTTTAATGTTACTATTAAAAGTAAGTCACTGAAAATGAGATATTTAAGAATCTTTTTTTACTATGAAAAAGTATAGGAAAAGAAGGAAATGGGAAGAAGGCTTCACTCAAAAGACCAATCAAGTATTACATATCTTTTAATTATTACCTTAGTCTCATTATTATTTATTTTAATCTTTATCATCTGAACATTGCTCATCAAAATCTCTAACTCTAACTTCTGTATCTTCACCATATTGTAATACATTATCGATAGTTATCTTAATATCTGCAATGCTATTTTCACTTTTAATATTTAATGGCAGAAATCGCACCAAGCTGTAATCTTCTATGAGTCTACCAAGAGCTTTTGTGAGCTTATGATATTTTTTGTTTGTAGAATCTTTTTTCATATCTGCTAGTAATGCCTCTGGATCAGGATCTAAATACTTGTCTAATTGTCTTCGTGCACTCTTTGATAACAAGTCCATTTTACTAAGAATATTGACATGTGGAAGCTCTAGGTTTATCATTACACTAAGGGCAGCCATGGTTCCTGACAGAAACTTTGATCCATCCACCATAAATTGGCTATCAATTAAAAATACTGCACATATTTGGAAATTTAAATTCTGTAGAATGGTTATCAATTTACGTATTACAGTCATATGAGTATATAATTCAATTTGTCCTGGACAATCAAATATTATATAATCTTCCTGTACTTCACTTAATTTCTCTTCCAGCCATTTACTTTCAACTAAGTACCTGTAAAAAATCATTTTATTACATAAAATTATAACAGTTCTAAAAAAGCAGTATATTTATATAAATACAAAGTAACTTACTCCATGCAATATATAAGGCTACCGTTTGGTCCAAACCTAAGTTCATCATCTTCCATGGGATCGTCCACATGTATTAATTCTCTTATATCTTCTAAAGGTTCATAATCAAAATATTCTGCTGCAGGATCCAAATTTATAACCAATACTGGTCTCCTGGAGACAGCAGCATGTTCTTGCATGATGCTGCAGTATGTGGACTGTTTGAAGTAAAATTATTTTTAATATTTAACGTTATTTTCTAAGCATATAGTCACTCAATTAATATAAGTTTAATGAGATAAATTAAAATTTATTACTTTGCCACTACCGGCTGGTCCCATTACTAGTTGTGCGTACCTCATTTTTCACACAAAAGCATGTGTTGTTAGGGCTTTAACGCACAAGTATGTTTACTATGGATGTAAGAATATCTGGACAGAGTACATTACCGCGGGAGTGAAGCTCAAGGTGTGAGGGAAATGATTGTACGTATGGAGTTGATATACCAACATGGCGACGGTCGCTACCCAGTAAACATGCATGCTAATAGCGAATTCGGTTGCTTGCACTAGTGTGCACTGAGTGCGCACTAAGGCTTGTTCATAGTATGTTATTATATTTAAAGATTGTCTTAAATAATTCTCAAATAAATTCTCAAATATTTTTAATCATAATATATGTATAACATCCGTACGAATCATTTGATTAGTTAAAATGTTTTTAAATATGTATTTAAGACACCATCTTAAATATAAGAATGTACTGTAAACAAGCCTTAATGCGCACTCAGTGCGCACTAGTGCAAGCTACCGAATTCGCTATAAAAGATGTCGAAAAGATATCTTGTGCAACATTTTGTTGCATAAGACGTCTTTTATATATCTTCGACATCTTTTAGACATGCATGTTTACTGGGTATTTTTTGGTCTGTTCTTTTCAGCTGGGCTGCGTTCAGATTTCCCACCCGGATGTATTCTATTACTAGAAGTGCTATAGTATATGTAACATATACTATAGTGTTTCTAGTAATAGAGTGCACCCG